ATCTTACACATTCTGAAAACAAGATGATTATTCTTACACAATCAGTTCTTGTTTAGTAAATCAGTCTCAAAACAAGATCAAAAAGACTTTTTGGCTGATAAAAGATTTTAAAACTTGGTAAGATGGACAATTTTTGGAGGGTACCAATTTTAGACATTTTAAGGCTAATTAAGGACTTATTTTTGGTTTGACAAAATCAATGCCTTTTAAGAGTTTTTAAGGATCTGCAGGAAGCCTGTTCTTACCCAGAACTCTCTCTCCCAGCCCTCCCAGCTCCAGGTAGGCGTTCTGGAAAGCCTCCTTCATCTCATCRTCCATGGGCTGCTCTTTGCCCTGCATCATGATGGTGGTGCAGCGGTCCAGGATCCTCTCAGGGGCGCCCTTCATCACCAGCAGGTAGCGGTTGTCGTTTTCCTCCTCCGTTTCGTGAATTGAGAGCTGGACGGGAACAGATCACCGTTGGTACACGGAGCGTTTACTAACCGTTATGGTGCGTCTCGTGAACCGCTCACCTGGTACTTGTTGGTGGAGTTGAAGGGGATCTCGGCCACCTTCTTGTTCTTGTCCCTGACGGCTTTGACGGCGCCGCAGGACAACTCGATGCACTTGAGCAGAGCCGACTCGGAGGCGTCGCCGGCGACCTCGCGCTTCAGGATGGGCAACGATTCCTGGCCGGCCTTGAAGACGGCGCGGTTACAGAGCGCGGCGATGCGAGCCAGAGACACCCACGTTGTTGAACTCTTGTCGAAGGAAGAACCTGAAGAGTAGAAAAAATAAATAAATGATGCTTTTTTTTTAAACTTTCGCTCAGGTGTATATCTGGAAGAATCATCAGGAACTAAAAGCCAATCATTTCCCTCAAATCTGAAACAAGATGACAAAGAGGAGAACCCCACCAGACTGGTCCTCGGTGGTGTCGGCTTCATGGATCTGATTGTCGAACCACATGTGGGCCACGGTCATCCTGTTCTGGGTCAGGGTGCCCGTCTTGTCGGAGCAGATGGTGGAGGTGGAGCCCAAAGTTTCCACGGCCTCCAGGTTCTTCACCAGGCAGTTCTTACGAGCCATCCGCTTGGCCGTCAGCGTCAGACACACCTGGAAGGGAGGACAGGTGATGAGAYGAAACCGACAAGAAGATAAAAACCAAACAAAGAGAAAGAAGAGTTAGTAGCTGTGCTTCCACTGACCATGAAAATGTGCAAATTAGAATCTCAAAAATAAATTTGCTCAATGGAAACACGTCAATTTTGAAGAAAATTACGTTTTTCGACAAAATGTTTTTGCGCTAGGATGAGGTGGTTTTTCGGCCGTATGGAAATTGTTTTTTTTTCTTCGCAAAACTGCAATGGAAACACTTTTTTCGTATCATGGGAGTCACGTGATCAACAACCGGCTGTTTCTACTGGTGAAAAGGACGACGACGAAGAAGATAACAGGAAGTAGAAGTAGAGGTGTCCCGGTCCGATACCAGCATCAAGTACTCGTACTCGTACACGTAAAAGCCAGCCGATACTCTTAACCGATACCGCTTTTGTCCCCTTTTTTGTTCCTCCTGTGCTGCGCTGCAGCATAAAGGGTAAACAACAATCCATACCAGGCGGGGGCGCTAACGCACTGACACGTTATTTCCGACCGCACCCCTGAATAATAGAAGAAGAACGATGAGAAGAAGAAGAAGAAGAAGAAGTAACTTATCGGCAGTTTGGAGATATTTAAGATCGGCACGGAGGACACAAACAAGCAGACAGTCTGCTGTGCTCTGCTAACTGTCAGAGGAGGAGTGAAAGTTGGATGTTTTAACAGCAGCAATTTGATTCAACATTTGAGGACAAGACATGACAAAGAATTCAGAGTTTGCTGCTGCTAGCAGTAGCCTTCATAAACAGCACTATGCTGCAGTTGTTGCAGTAACTTCAATGMTGTTTTTTCTTTCTTGTAGAACAAACTAAGACATAAGCAGAATATGGAAGGAAGTTTGTTGTAAAAACATTTTATTTTTCACTGTGGTTCTTCTGAGATTTTGTTTTAGTTGTTCCATTTAAGTTTGAACTGAAATTTACTGCACTTTATTACTATTAGTCATTTCTTAACAGTTTAAGACTGAAGCAGAGTAAACTTCTATAGATGTGCTGCTAAAATTTACGTTTTACATTTTAATTTAAATTTGGTAGTTGCATGTTGAGGAAAATGTATAAAAATAACTTATTTTGTTTTTTAATGTATGCAACAGCATTTGTTTTGCAGTATTTGTTTTGTTAATACATTCAGAGGGAGTGTGGCCTTATAAAAAAGAGCCTGTTTGAAATAAAATAAATGGTTTCAAAAGTTATGGTGTGATATATATACCAACTTATCTACTTGTCAGAGTTTGCACTACCTTTTTATTGTCAAACATAATATTTACACATCAATTTTTGCATGATAATTGCATTTCATTTTCTTTCTGTTTAATATTCAACAAGTTGAACAGATAATCCACACGAACCCCGCTACTTGGTATCGGTATCGGCGAGTACCTAAACTGAAGTWCTCGTACTTGTACTCAGTCTTGAAAAAACTGGTATCGGGACACCCCTAAGTAGAAGTAGTAGTAATATCACAGAAGTAGTATAAAATAGTAAACTCACTGACTACAATTTCCCAAAAACACAGCATACGTAGCCGCTCCCAAGTAGGGACTTGTCTCTGGAAAGCCTCGATAAAAGACGCCGACGTCTCCTCTGATGATGAGCGCTAGTGTCGTGGTAGCAACATGCTATGTGTTTACATCCATCGCCGCCATGTTTGTAATGACTTATCATGAGAACAAACGTATTCACGTGACTTTAATAACATTTCTTACTTAATGGAAACACTGCAGTTGTGAAACTGTGTTTTTCGACATTAACAGAATATCGACAAAGTTGTGCGCACATTTGTAATGGAAACGCAGCTACTGTTTTATTTTAAATAAGATCACAGACGAGCATCTGCAGGCATTAAACTAAGATCTGCTGCTGTGGATCCAAGACAACTGGACTCTTTTGATTCTTCTCATCTGAGAAGCTTTTTCAACTGAAACTCCTTCAAGAATAAAAAGAGTCCAGCAGCCTTCGGTTCAGCGTTTTAACTTCTAAAGTTAAACATTTAAACCAAACCACTCAGATGCCTGAAGACGTTTATCCTGCTCAACATCTCAGCAAAATGCACTAAAGTGGAGAAACCCTCTGAGAGTTAAATCACAGCCCAACAAGCAATGCAGAAGCACAAACAGTGAAGTTACGCAGCAGAGCAGAGGTGCATTAATTTATCATGACAAGTACGGCAAGACCAGTGGGTCAAACAGGACCAGCAAAGCCCAAGCTGCTAATCAGAGCTATTAACTGGGCTGGTGTCATTACATTTGCTAGCTGTTGTCATTGCAGCGAGCTCTGCCACTGGCCTGGAAAAGAGAGGGAGACACACAAACAGAACAACAACTTCACCACAGAAACAAAACGTGACACAAACACAATGTTAAAACATAAAAACAACAATAATCAGCAACATCAAACGGCACACAGAGGAGGGAAGCAGAAAAAAATCAAACCACACGACAGAAAAACTGCAGCCGAGTCGCTGAATACGACACAAAAAACACACAACTTTAAAACTGATCAACAACAATTACAGCCTAAAGTCAACAAATTATTGTTTGAATGGATTGTCAGAWTTATGAGGTAAAAACATATAAAAGCATCGTTTTCCTGGATTAATCTGCAGAAAGAGAAGTGAGACATGAGGCAGATGTGTTTAACCACAAAACGAAGCGTCTCTCTGACCACTCACAGTAACCGTGGCCAGAAGTCCTTCAGGCACGTTGGCCACGATGATGCCGATGAGGAAGATGACGGCCTCCAGCCACGAGTAGCCCAGGATGAGGGAGAGGACGAAGAAGGTCACACCGAGGAACACAGCTACGCCTGTGATGATGTGGATGAAGTGCTCGATCTCTTTAGCAATGGGAGTCTGAGAAAAATAAATCAAATGTATTAAATACAAGAAAAAGTTGTTGGAACAAAGTGAGGCAAAAAGAACGTGCAGAAATAAAAAAAAAAGGTTGTTTTTTTAAACAGAAGTTCTGCTGTTTTAATACATTCAGTGTAAATAAATCCTGAACAGGTTACCTTGCCGGTCTCCAGGCCTGAGGTGAGCGTGGCGATACGACCCATCACCGTTCGATCCCCGGTGCACACGACGATACCACGAGCAGTTCCTGCAGAGGGAGGTTAGATATGAGGTAGGGCTGGGCGGTATAACCTCAAATTCATATCACAGTATGAATGGAATCCCTTAACGGTAACCATGTATATATCACGATAGAAAATGATCATAAAAAAACAAAGATAATGTAATTTTTAAAGCATTTGTAGAAAACTGTCATAATAATCAAACCCAGTATATTTGCTGTAGTGCAAATGAACATGACAGATACTAAAGAATGTTTTATTTATATTGGAAAACGGTTTCAACAACAAACAAACATTTCTCAAATTTTCAACAGTATCAAAATAAAGTGGATGTTATAACCAGTATTTCAAGTAAAATTAGTCATTTAGACATACATATCCTGTCATAAAACTATTTCAGATAACTGGAATATAAGTGTGGTCAAGCCAAATATATGTAATATCTGCCTGCCATACATGAGCTTCTGCCTGCTGCTCTGCTGCATTCTTCATCATCAGAACAGATGTTACATTATCAAGATGGATTAATGACTGAACGAACGTCCGCATCTTTTTTTATTATCTCTGTGGGTAACGATACATAAACAAGTTTTTTTCTACGACAGTTTGGGTGTGAAAAACTACGGTTGTTAAAGATTCACTCTGCGCGACGTGCAGCGGGAGGGAGGAGGAAATTATCCTGTGGCACGACATAACTTTTCTACAGCAGGAGGGGAAATTTTGAGGATTTATTCTCTCTATACGCGTTTTAAAACTCTACATTTCTCATTTATTTTCATTATATTTTGAACTCCTCCTGCTCAGTTGTCTCTGCACTCACAGCCATGTTGACACAGGTACGATGACGTAATGACGACAGGATGGTAGAGGGTAAATTTCTACTGTAGACCAACTTCATATCATTTCTACTGTCTATCACAAACACTGCACAGCCCTAATATGAAGGAGTCTTATTTAATGTGTCTTTATGAGTTTCAGGAAGTTAGAAACAGAAACTGATGATTTTATTCACCACAAGAGGGCGTCAGACACTTCAACACTGAGCAAACTGATCTGACTCTTTTAGACTTCAACTGAATTTCCTGTCATTTTCTGGGTTTGTTGCTCTGTAACGACGTGACGATGGCGGTAAACGTACCCTCCACACAGTTGGTGGAGAAGAAGGCGATGTTGCGAGTTTCCAGGGGGTTCTCGTGGGTGCAGTCAGGGGACCTGGTCTGGGGTTCTGATTCGCCAGTCAGGGATGAGTTGTCCACCTGAACCCAGGAGGAGGAAACGGTTGGATCGGTTTGTGAAATCAGCTGAGAGATGGTTAAAGAATTGATTCATGTAAAAATTAACATTTTCAGCCCACCTTGCAGCCGTGGGAGGAGATGATACGGAGGTCAGCTGGGATCCTGTCTCCTCCTTTCACCTCCACCAGGTCTCCTGCCACCACCTGCTCAGCGTTGATCTGCATCTTCTCTCCCTCTCGGATCACCAGGGCTTGCTGGGGTCAGGGTTGAGAGTTAGAAGTCTAAACTAAATAAATAAATTCTCCTGATTCTGACTCATGAGGTGTGTGTGTTACCTGTGGAACCATGTTCTTGAAGGATTCCATGATCTTGGAGCTCTTAGCTTCCTGAAAGTAGGAGAAGCAGCCAGTGATGATGACGACAGCTGACAGCACGATGCCCAGATATAACTGCAGGGAGGAAGAAAAGGACAAAAGAAATAAAATTGAATCACTTTTATCTAAAATTGAAACATYTGAAAGGAATAAAAAATAGATGAGAAAAAAGTGACTAATCCTGACGAGGCTATTTCAGGAAAAAGTCAGGTCAGATTTTTAAAATAGCAGAAATGATATGAATATTTTCAGCCTCACATTGTGTCACTGACGGCTTCAAGCTGTCAGGAACTGTTTGTTGCTGATCCGGGGGGTTCTGACTGGTCACTGAGTGTGTATATACAGCATGTCTGTGTGTATACAGTATATCTACAATATGTATGAATGTAGGCATGTATGTATGTTTGTATAACTTTATATGTGTATGGGTATGTATATATTTTTATATATGCCCTCCATGTATTTATCCATTTATTTTTAGGTGAGCGGACAGATGTTGGGTGTGTGGTCCTGTGTTTTCTTGGTGTGTATTTACTTCTAATCTCTATTTCAATCTTTCTAATTACTTCTCTTTGTTTTTCTCTCTTTTTCCTATTTTCTCTTTACTTAAAAAATCACTAATGATGAAGAAATTAAGAAACTAATATTAAGTTCTTTTTTCTACCGAAGTGATTTTAAAAAAGTAACTGTTTGTTGTGTTTGCTGTTGGTGGTTTTATAACTGTACCAGCCTGTCTGTTATCGATCACTGAAGTCCAGCGTTAATCTGAATCRCTCATAGAAAACTATGACCCGACACAGCTGCAGCCAGCAGACTCTGCTGGGTCAAACAGCTCTGGTCACTGACTCAACACTCTGGCTGTTTCCTCCCTGCGGTCCGAGCCAAGTGTTTTGTCTTTTCGTGCTGYGCGCCTCAGAGCCGTTTAGCCTCGACGCCGAGCTCTGACCCGTGAACACCCTCCTCTTCCTCGGCGATTACAGACGCCAGGAGTCACGGGCTCTCTGCGGCGTGATGGGAACGGATGCTAACAGAAAGCTGTGTCACTCTGAAGATGAGCCGGTTGGCAGTGTTTGGACAAACAGCTGACATAAGTCTTATCAGCGACACACACTCATCCCACAGGACTCTGCAAACTGCCTCCTAAAGCAATAACGGACACAACCACTCACCCTGACCAGTGTTCATATCCTTCCTGAGGCTTTTATTTCTGCAAAATAATGCTCGACTGTTTGCCAAGTTTATAAAATATACATCATATTGTAGAGTTTGCATTTAGAAAGGCTTTAAATGTGAAAAAATMGTGTTAATGACAATATTTTTAGCAGCATTTTAAAAGCATGTTGTTTATTGTGTGTGTAGTTGTACTTACGTTATCTCCAGCTGGCTCGTCCTCTGTCGCAGCCTGGATGGCGTAGGCCAGGAAGCAGAGGATGGCGCCGATCCACAGCAAGATGGAGAAGCCACCGAACAGCTGACGGCAGAACTTGACCCACTCTGGGGTRGTAGGGGGCGGGGTCAGGGCATTCAGGCCATCCCTGGCCAGGTACTCTGCTGCCCTGGCGTTGGTCAGACCCTGGGTGGGGCAGAGAGGAAGAGGAGGAAGGATTATTGAAGTGGGTGGATGACAATCAGAACAGATGACAAAAGACAGGAAAGAATTTAACTGTAGAGAAAAAGAAGGGAAGAATGTTTTAATAAGTTAATTTATGAAGAAACAAAATGTGCTCTGTCTGTATGATCAATAATTCAAATACACAAAGAGGAAACAATAAACTGTAAATCATCTTACCTGTACGATATCAGTGGTGTATTTCCGGCAAACTTCCTCAACAGACATTTTGTGTTCCGTCTAAGGAAAAAAATAAAWAAATAAACCTTGATTTTTCAGAATTACCTCAGTAAAACCTGTGTGAAATAAAACTCTGAATATTTTACAATCTTACAAAACTAACTTACGGAAATTTGGGTTAATTATAATTTTTAGTAGGCACCTTTAAAATGTTTGACATGTATTTTTTATTTAAAGTCTATTATTCACCTCTATAACAAGAGAACAATCTAGATTAGGTCTAATGACACAAAGTAAATCATTTTACAAACACAATGAATTATTAAAGCAGACCAACACAAACCACACTGAGCCATTATTACTACACAACCACAACTTCTGTGTCATCGCCTTTTAAACAGGAACAGGTTGGATCACAGCTCTGAATGATACAGGGTTCATCCATCCATCCATCCATTTACCCATCCATCCATCCATCCATCCATCCATCATCCATCTTCCCTCCATCCATCCATCCATCCATCCATCCATTTACCCATCCATCCATCCATCCATCCATCTACCCATCCATCCATCCATCTTCCCTCCATCCATCCATCTTCCCTCCATCCATCCATCTTCCCTCCATCCATCCATCCATCCATCCATTTACCCATCCATCCATTCATCTTCCATCCATCCATCCATCCATCCATCCATCCATCCATCCATCCATCCATCCGTTTACCCATCCATCTACCCATTCATCCATCTACCCATCCATCCACCCATCTACCCATCTACCCATCTTCCATCCATCCACCCATCTACCCATCTTCCATCCATCCACCCATCTACCCATCTTCCATCCATCCATCCATCCACCCATCTACCCATCTTCCATCCATCCATCCATTTACCCATCCATCTACCCATCCATCCATCCATCTACCCATTCATCCATTCACCTTTCATCCATCCATCCATCCATTTACCCATCCATCCATCCATCCATCCATCTTCCCTCCATCCATCCATCTTCCCTCCATCCATCCATCTACCCATCCATCCATCCATCCAGCCATTTACCCATCCATCCATCCATTCATCTTCCATCCATCCATCCATCCATCCATCTACCCATTCATCCATCTACCCATCCATCCACCCATCTACCCATCTTCCATCCATCCATCCATCCATCCACCCATCTTCCATCCATCCATCCATTTACCCATCCATCCATCCATCTTCCATCCATCCATCTGTTTACCCATCCATCTACCCATCCATTCATCCATCTACCCATCTTCCATCCATCTATCCATCCATCCATTCACCTTTCATCCATCCATCCATCCGTTTACCCATCCATTCACCTTCCATCCATCCATCCATTTACCCATCCATTCACCTTCCATCCATCCATCCGTTCATCCATCCATCCATCCAACCATCCATCAATCTTCCATCTACTCATCCATTCATCCATCCACCCACCAATCCATCCATCTCTCAGAAATGTCTGCAGGAACATCAGTGAGGTCACAGGAAGCAGGAAGTAGTTTACGTACGATGGGCACTTCTTTCTTCAAGTCATCCAGATCCTTGCCTCCCTTCTTCTTGGGTGACTCCTTGTCATCCTTGTCCTGCGTGGTGGCCACGCGGTAGCTG